GCAGAGAATTTGGGAGCGGAAGAAGGAAAGCTTGGTGTTGCTAGGGTCAGTTTCTAGGGCTTTGAGCAGGCTATTTTTGATGACATATTTATTTGCAAGACTGCAGCTCAACTTCAGGAAATATTCTTATTGTTAGAGCGTCACAAATTTCTGCCAATTTCAGGCACACTCAAAGATCCCGCCTCCGCAGCTCCACAGCACTAAAGAATGGCTCCAAGGCAAAAATCCCGGGAGTGCGATTTCTTCCCTCTCCCTGTTCCATCTGTCTCCAGTGCTGATGTAATCCCGCCAGATCACTAGTGGCCAGCTCTGGAGTTTGTCTGTGATACTGCCCAACTGCAGCACCAAAGATGTGCGCAGTGTGAGTTGTGGGTCAGGAGAGTACCTGCTAGCGACCTGCAGTCCCAATCTCTCTGACAAAGATAAGCATGGAGTCTCCCAGTCTGACCCTCTACTCTGTGACCCACTGGGAGGGGAGGGAGCTACCCTTCCTGTTGCAACAGTAAGTTTCCCTCCAAATCTCAGCGGAGGTGTCTGTGCCCACAGCCAGCACCCAGGAGACCCAAATTATCTCCAAAAAATCAAGATTAGCTGCTAGAGGCAGGTCTCTGCCTCTGCCCACCGGAATATTAGAGTGGTCACTGGTAAGCTGTTATAAGGCGTCCTCCCTCTTGGCTCAGGGATCTCAGGCAAGTGCCCTAGCCCAGCACACAGTGACTGCTTCAGAAGAGTTTCCAATGCTTCTCTCAGGTGCCCATCCATCCTCCTCCAGTAGGTCTTTCCAAAATAATCTCCCTGTGACTTTCCTCTAATTCTGCTCTTCCTTGTTTGATGTACTCTGACTCTGTGAGCTGTTCAGAGCAGTGCAATTCCTAATTTAAACTGTTGTGGCTAGTTTTCCAAGACCTTAGATGCCAGAGGGATAAAGCGTGCTGCTCACTGGCTTGACTCCATTTTGAACTCTATGTGGGAACAGTTCCTGTCTTCCATTGCATTAGACAAAAAAAAAAAAAAAAAAAAAGTCAAGAAAGCCACCAAAAAATAAAAACAAGGGAACAAAAAACTCAAACCACATAAATAAAATGCAACAATTACACACAAAAAAAGGAAAGGTAATAAATGAGAAAAAAAAAACCATTTCAAAATATATTTAGAAGGGATAAAAGAAATATAATGAGGAAAAGGACTAAAAAAAAAGCAATATCTGGGGAGGGAAGAATGATAGAAAAAAATGGAAAACTGCATAAGAAAAAACAAAGAATGGAAAGAACCAAAAGAAAGATAAAAGAAAGGAACCAGGAAAAGGGGAGAGAAAACACAAAAATCAAACATGAACCAGGGATGGGAAAGAGAAAAAAAGGATGAAGAGGAATGCAAAAAGAATAGTTTGAAAACAGAAACAAAACTGTGGAGGGCAGGTCATGGCACCCAATCTCTGTCAAGGCACAGACTAGGATGAAGTTCCTGCTGGTCAAGAAGGTGGGTGGAGGTGGGGGATGGCCACACCTCCAGTGCAGTTGCCTGTGCTGTCCCCAGCAAGCGGAGCCCACTCATGTTGCTGTCTAGGTAAGAACACCACTTGCATACATCCAAAATGGCTGTGCCTGCCTCCCATGAACATTCAAAATGGCTGTGCCCTCTGGACAGCTCCCAGCAGTCCACAGGCCCATTTGTCTCCTTCCCCTCCGTTTTCCTTTCTGGTTGTCAGGCACCAGTGCAGTCCTTCCCTTTGCAGTCTTCAGTGAGCAGAGCCGATTCTCAGGTTGATATCAGGAAATATTTAAAATGCCTGTGCCCCAGGACAGACAGCAGTCCGCCACTCCATTTGTCTCCTCACTCACTGTTTCATTCAGGTTCTTCTCCTAGTCAGTATTTAATCTGCTTCTTTATCCTTTTTTCGAAGCTCAGGGTTCCAGGATCATCTTCTGTAATGGTTTCAATTGGTTTCTCATTGCTTTGTTGCAGAAGGTCTGTGTAGCTTGTTTGCCTATTTTGCCATTTTGCTGGAACTCTTATTTCATTGTCTCTTCAGTGAAGTTTTACACAACAGTTTAGGCTCCTGTTCAATAATTTCTATACAAATTGTTCAGTAATATTAGTTATGTTCTTCCCAATGAATGAACATTCTCATTACTTCCATTCTGGTTGTTCCATTTCCATGAATCTAGTTCCCTTGCACCCTTATATTCTCATGTTTGTTTTAAAGAAACTGTTGAAAACAAAGTAAAGTAATTGTTGACCGTTTGGTCTCATACAGGTAATTTTTAAAAGGAGCACAGTACTTATGGGTGATATCTCAGGGCAGTAGTCTTGGGGAGTCATCCATTTGCAACCAGTCCAGTAAATCTATTTTTGTTTTTTAGGAGTTTGAAGTTCTGTTCCACATTTTTTTCCAATTATATTGGGGCTGATCTATTCTAACCCTGATTAGAATGGTAATTAGTGGTAGAAGGCACCATCTATTTCTTGCTCTCAGGGTAGATGAAGTCATAGTTCATGTAGACGATTTGCTCTATAGACTAGTTTTTTTTTTTTTGAGTTCACAGACTACATTCTTAAATCAAGCTAGATCGATCAATCAACCAGAGAAAAGCCTAGACTTGGAGAAATTAGGTCGCCATTGTTCTACTCCTGACTTGGGCACTGATTTTATACATGACCTTAGGAAAATACTTCTCTAAGCCTCAGTTTTCTTATCTGGGAGTGTTATATGAAAGGATCTCTAAGGGACTTTTCAACTCTAACATGAGTTTATATTCTTTAAAAAAGAATTCATCCTTCTAAATGATTTGTGGGACATTTGGTAGCATAGTACCTAAGGCACTTGACTGCTAACCAGAAAACTGGTGGTTCAAGCCCACCAGCCACTCCTCAGAAGGAAGATGGGGCAATCTACTTTCATAATGATACTGCCTTGGAAACCCAAGGAGAGGTTGCTATGAGTCAAGTCTGACTCGACGGCACATAACAACAACAACAAATGATTTTTAGTTATTTATATATTATTAATGTTAACTCTTTGTCATGATCCTATAAGCTTCCTTTATTGAGTGTTTCCTGTATCGTCAGTATTACATTAGAGGGTTCAGATTAGCCAAAGTGGTAAATTGATTTGAAGTAAACTTCAGAAAGAGAGTCGCAGTGTTAAAATCCAAACCAAACCCATTGTTGTCAAGTCAATTACAACTCATAGAGACTCTATAGGACAAAGTAGAACTGCCCCATAGGGTTTCCAAGACTATAAATCTTTATGGAAGCAGATTGCCTCATCTTTCTCCCAAAGAGCAGCTGGTTGGTTCAAACCACTGACCTTTTGGTTCACATCTGAATACTTAAACACTGCACTACCAGAGCTCCACAGTGTTAAAGAATATATATTGAACATTCACCAGGTTGCTTTACATATATTAATGCTGTGAATCTTCAATAGCTCTAAGAAGGTAAGTACTCTTTCATTTCCAAGTTCCAGATGAAAAAAAAAAAATGAGACACTGGAAAGTTGTCTTTTGCCTCTGGTCTCAGCCAGCAAGGGGCAAAAGTGGGATTCCACTCAGATAGGGAGCATTGGTAACACAATAGTTGACCACTTGGCTGCTAATAAAAAGGTTGGGGGTTCAGACTCACCAGCAGTTCTGTAGGAGCAAAGACCTGGTGACCTGCTCCCATAAAGATTACAGCCTAGGAAAGCCTATAGGGCAGCTCTACTCTGTCATATAGAGTTTCTGTGAGTCACAGTCAACTAAACATCACAAAACAACAACAGTATGTCTCTGAAAGCCCACTGCTCTTAACTAGTGTGATCCATTCCCTTGGTTTAGATAGATGGGATCTTGAGTGTATTGAAAGTCTGGTATAATTTACAAATAACAGCTTGAGGGAATCTAACTCTTGTGTATAATAGGGTGCTAAGAATGTATTTTAGAGAACTTCTTAAAAGGCAGAGTGGAACTGAGAGCATTAGGGGACAAGGATCAGAGATTTCTACCCCCAAGAGATTGTCCTTGTGTAGCGCAACTCAGTGCAAAGGTGAGATCATTTGCAGCCAATCAGTGGAGATTCATCAGGGGGCGGGAATGTTGGGAAATAATGAAGAACACACTTGGACGTCTTTCAGGCAACCTATGTAGTTACATGTTTTCCAAAAGCTTCAAAACAACTGCGGGGTGGGGGCTGAATGAGAGATAGCTGGGTGGATTAGTTCTGACCAATGGACTTGTCCTACTTTGAGGCCATTGCTCCCTGCTCCCCACACACTTCCTGCTGCACCCTTCACCCTAAGCTTCCATTCCCAGACTTGCCCCAAAAAACTTTAGCCAGTTTCTGGATTAGATCATGATGCCTTTCTCCCTAAGACATCTGATGACAGCTGTCAGCCATGTGAGCAGATGCCTACCTTCTCTCCCCCCAGTAATGGCTGCACTCACTCCCCTTATCAAGGTGTCAGGTTTACACTTATTTATTTAGCCTTGGCTGGAGAGAGTATAAAGATGATCAGATAGGGTCCATTTCTCCAAGAGTGCCTCAGGCAGCACATTTTAGGAGAGAGAGGCCCACAGAAGGGAAGGCAGCAAAGTCCAGGGGAAGACAAGAGTTGCAATGCCATTTTCATTGGGGGGAGGTGGTGAGTGAGGCAGTGAACTTGTAGTTCAGGCCTTTGATTGCTAGCTTAAAACTGCATTTTTTTTTTTTTTTTTTTTGGTGGGGACTTTGTATTTGTGTGTAACTACCGAGGAAGCTTGGATTTCTGATATTGACTTCTGGTTGTGGATTGGAACTTGACATTCTACTTGGGCCTATTTTTTATTTCAAAGCTGCAAAAACCATAGAGATCTCCCTCCCTCATTTGCTTCTCCACCCCACACAAGATGTAAGCACATGATCTTTGGTTTTTTATTTGCATATTCTACTAGTCCTCTCTTCATTGGAGGGAAGCAACTGGCCAGACCTGAGCTGTCTTGCTGGCTGCCTTCCTTGCTGGGCTCCAACTTATCTCCTATGTACACAGCCCTTGAAGTTCAAAGGCCTTTGCTGACCTCTTCCCAACCTATCTCTCCTGCACTCAAGCCCCCACTAGTACATGCAAGAGCAGAGGCAGGCTAGGACTAGAGGAAAGTGGAGAAGAGGCTGGAGACAGGCTGTCAGAGGGCTCAGAAGCCCCACGCATTCCCCATCCCAGGCCTGTCCACCTGCTTCAGGAGCCACAGCAATAGAAGGGACAGCTAATAAAGTAGTCGGTGAGGCTCGGTAATTTGTGGCTAGGGTGTGATTAACTACGACGCCTAAGATGTCCCAAGAGATGGGAGAGCTCACCCAAACCAGGCTGCAGAAGATCTGGATTCCACACAGCAGCAGCAGCAGTACCAGAAGCAGCGGGCTGCAACGGAGAAGGGGCTGTAAGTGGTGTTTGCTCATGTGTGCTTCAAGGTGGTGGTGGTAGAGTGGGTATAGAGGAAGAGCAAAGGGTGCACACCCCTCCACCCTTAACTTTGACTTGGAAGTTGGAATAGATAAGCAGCTGATGAAATAGCTGTAACATAGGAGTCTGATGTCAGAAAAGCTGGGGAAAGAAGAGCCACACCAACAGACATAGATAAGAGAAAAAAGGAATGAAGGTTATATAAAGACCAACTTAATCAGTGGGATCTTTGGCTAGGAACTTTTCCTTTCTTATCCAGAGCTTATTTGGAATGCTGCTTTTTTGGAATGAGAGGTTTCTTGTTTGGAACTATTCAATGATAGCCTAGAATGTCTCAATTTGTTGAAATACTTCAGTAGAGTATCTGGAAATTGTTCCTGACTGATAGTGCCTGGGTGAAATAAGGATTCTTGGCATCATCTCTCAGGGGACAGGTGCTGTGTATATAACAGTACCATGTCACTGGTTAGTATTGCTCCTCCCCTTTCCCAAGCTTCTTCTGATAAGTCTATACCTAACTGGCTTTGGAAAGGCTGGGTGTCATATTTCCTGCATTGCCTTCTTGGAACATATGAACACTTTTGCTCTTCTAGAAATTTGAGAAAGAAGACATTCAGTCTCTCAATGGCAGCCTCCTAATGTCATGTTCACTTTAAAAATTTAAGAAGGGGTAGGGACAAAGGAGAGAACAAACAAAACCTGTAACTATTTTTTTGTAAACTGGAGTAGACTATTACTC